CAAACTCCTCGTGTATGGAAGAACACAGGTCACCTTCTGTCCACGGTATCAGCACAAGGCACTATGTCCTGGAGAGAAGGGAAAGCTGCTGTATGATCCAGACCAAGGATGTCACCCTGTCCTCCAGCTTTGAGCTGCAGTCCCTTTGGTGTGATACTCTCCAAATAGAACTTCCTTCTCCTTCCCTCCTTCATCCCTCTCAAATCCACCAAGCACAGAACTCTCTAAAGTATGTAACTCCCAAACCAGAACAAGACATGGGACCTCTTGGATACTTTGGCTGAGGTCCAGTTCAGCATAACGCTTTTGGCCTTGCCTGAGTTGTGTTTTTGCAGCTCTGAAACACCCAAGAACCCCAGGTGAGATAGATGGATAGGTAAGCTCACCCATTAAATCCCATGACCTTTCTGGAGTGACCTTTAAGGCAGCGTTTGAAAACTATTTTGGAGGTGAGGGAACCGCACATGCACACCTTAATAATGTGACTGAGTTTATTCTGTGTTAGTGCCCAAGAACTCAGCCCAGGGTGGGACTCTGAATCCAAGCATACAAGCCACCAGTGATAACAGTGTCCACTTCCCCAGCAATTACCTTCTTCAGAAGGGAAAGGGAAGTGCAAGAGGAGCCCATTCCTTACCACAAGCACACGTGTCACCTGGTTCCCTCCAGAACCCTCCCTCTAGCAGAAACTGAGCTGCTGCTGTCAGTGTTGAGATCATACCCTTAGCACTGGAGAACAGCTCTGTGTGCACACCCTACAAGAAACAATGGAGAGATATACCAGGCTGGTGCCATTCTCGTTAGCGGCTGGTGGCCATCAGCATTGTTCTGATGTTCCTCCATGAAGCCTCAGGCACTGCTTTACTCTTTTCCCTGCCATTTCTGGCATGAGGAATCGATTTACTTGCCCATTGCTGGGTTGCAAATTTTTCTGGTGTGGGTTTTGGACACATAGGCCTTTTCTTTCTTTGTCATTTCCTTTCCAGTGCACACATGGCATGGGAGGAGGCCTGGCTCACAGAGGCAGAATACTCCAGGATACTCCAGGACAGAGGCCAGCATTCTGCCTGGGCTCATTCGCCTCATGAGAAGATTTACTTACAGTTTTGCCACCAGTATTCCTAAATCCCAACCATAGACTGCTGAGGGCAAACACAGTAAAAAACATAAGCTGAGGTCCTAAGAAGAAAGGCAATTAGCTGCTAATAACTGCAGCAACCTGAAGTAAAGGGCAAGGGCAACCTCTGCCACTCCCACCCCGGAGAGGGCCACACACATACAGCAAGGGCATTAGGGCATTTCATACTCCCCTGAGCTATCGCAGTTACAATCGGCATATTCAGCAGACAATGGAATGAGCCATTCCTGCTCTAGCTGGCTCTGCCTTGCCACAGAAATAGCTCCTAGCTATTCCATTTTCCAAGCACCAGTGGATTTCAATATCCTTTAAACACCAGGAATTACCTCCCCCTCTTTCCAGTTGGTACTGGCTTTAGCACAGCTCCTGTTATGCTTCAAATAAGTCACAGATTTTATTTTTTTCTTAGCAAAATTACTTCAAATTTATTCATAAAGTTACCCAATTTCACCTGGCACAAGTACCAAACAAAAAGTACCCCTGCATTCAGGTGTGGCACTGTGTTGTGTGGTGAAGAAACACAGGAGACAAGATGACACCATGTCTCCATGGAAAAAGGATTTACTGCACAGCAGAAATGCCAGGGCACTGATGCAGGAGTGCAAGCAGAGCTCTCCCAAGTCTCTCAAACTGCCCTGACAACGATGTGCCTGTTGGACTCTTCCCCAGATCCTCTTCTTTGATAAAGCCAAGTATCAGCTCTGAAAGGTCGGGGGGTGGAGGAGCGGGGGGGGACGACAAGGACAGAAGGGTTATGTCAAATAGTGAACATGACCTTCAGCAAAAGTTTTTAAGAGATTCTGTGGCACCCAGGCACTTAGCTGGAGATTACTGCAAAAATAAATGTGTAGGGTGTCTAGTCACCCTGGCCAGTGCTCAGGAGGCTACAGAAAGGCTGAACTGGGTTCATGGCTAGTCAGAACACCATGTAAACAAGGTGCTTGCACACAATGACAGTGTCCGAAGAGCAGCAGGCCAGACACAGAGCATTGTCCCAACTGGTGGTCTGAACATTAGTTTGCTTCTCTGTTAATCTTGGTCACGGCCCATTTTGCCAGTCAGCCTCCGACGCTGAGTCTTGGTGGTTCGCCCTGTGCTGGACTTCTGGATTTTCTTACGTGGGCCTTGCCCACGTTGAGATCTCTTTCCTTTTGTCTTTTTCCGGCTGTGCATGTGCAGTGTGGCAGTAAGAGAAGAGATTCTGTTTAGGGCAGAAAGAGAAAAATGTTTGGGGACCAAAGCCTGCAGAAGCAAGACAATACCACAACAATAGCTGGAGAGCTCTGTGTGGCCCAGCAGGAATGGATGCCAGACACGGCAAGTCTCAGAGGGACTCTAAGCTATGCAGGAAACCTCCAAGTCTCCATGTACGGCAACAACAAAAATTCATGTTGTGAGCATTGTGCTGCCCAGACCCCACAGAGTTAAAGTAACTCTCACACCCTCAAAGCAGCTGTAAAACCCGCATACTGAAAAATGTGGAGGACGCCTGAGCTTCCAGCTTTAGGAGGCTCTGACCTTCAACCCTAGGGACGAGCTCAGCGCGCTGCGGAATGTGCCCGATGAAGGAGTAGGTAAGAGGTGAAGACGAAGCCCACCCTCCTCCTCCTCCTCCTCCTCCTCCCGCGCTGTCCCCGGAGCCGCAGGAGCCGAGCGGGCCGCGCTCCGCCAGCGCCCCCTGCCCGCGCTGCACCGCACCGCACCGCACCGCCGCCACAACGCGCATCCCGGAACACAACATTCCCACAGGCTTCCAGAGCCGAACAGCCAAGGCCTGCAGGAATCTGTACATACTTTTCAGACAGAAAGGGGTTTCTGGACTTCTTGGGCATTGTTCTCACTGGCTTGTTCACCACCTCTTCCCCTTTCTCTTCTTCAGATCCATCAGTTTTTCCCTTAAAAAGAAAGCACTTTAGTGATTCTGGTGTTTCCGTGGCCTTTTTGGTTTCATCCTGTTTTGTGAACTAACTAGTCACAGATGAAGATTTTTTAAATTTTCCACACTCCTCGCCAAGGTTTCCTATTGCAGTCTTGCAGAAAGGCACAACTAGAGATGCCCTACAGTAATCCAAGAACTTCAGCATGATTTTAATGGCCATGCAACTGTAGTTTAAACTTGAATGAACCAAGGTCCTTGGCTTTTGCATAAATTACTATCAAGACCTCTTTGAGTAGATTTTCAGATTAGATGACCTTACAAATGTAAGCACAACCAATATTTGAGAGTCTCTATAAAAACAAATACAAGATTTTAGTTACAATGTATTTTGAGAATAAAAGTGACAACCAGAACTGAATGGTTTCATTATTTGTGGTCCAAGCATGGGATCGTGCAGAGAGAAATGCCTCTGCATGCAAACAGTAATATTTCTGAACAGGACACAGGAAAGAAATCAAGGACAGACCATGCAGCAAAGTCTGAAATCTTGCTACTTGTCTTGTATCGGCTTTTAAAGTTGCCATCCACTGTTGCCATCCAGTCCACTAACACTTTTCCTTTAACCAGAGTCAGTCGGGACTAGCAAAGAATTCCAGGGAGGTTTGGAGTGAGCTATTCACACAGGACATTTCCTTCGCTTTAGAGGCCCAATTTAAATTGTGAAAAAACATAAAAGTTATGAGTTTTCCTTTTCATCTCTGTTCCCAGCCAGCTTCAAGGCCTTAGACATACTCAGGGATCACCAGCCCTACCTTACCAGCCCCAAGAGTGTGTACAGCTGATACAGAGAGGTAGCAAGAGGCTTTACCACGGAGCTGGTCAGTCCCAGCTGGCGTGCCCCTGAGAGGTCCAGGTCACTGATGGTGGTCACTGTTACGATGTGGTTTGGGTGGTCGATGTTCACAGACTCTGTCCTCGATGTCACCAAGTGCTCCAGTTCATCAGCCTCCTCTGGGAACACAAGAAATCCTGCACTGCAAAGTGCCCACCTTTTCACGGGATAAACTCACTTGTTCCTGATGCACCATGCTGGGCAGGGGTGACACCCGGCCTTGGCACGCAGGGATAAAAGGCAGAGGGTTTGGCACTGCAAGACTAGAGGGCAAGCTCCTTCTCCCCCCTGAGGGGACCTGGTGACACCTTGGAGATGTCCTCCAGCTCCTTCCTTTCCTTACAACCCTCACGATTCCCGGGACACAGGGCTGCGGGGTCACCGCTCAGATTGCTGCCCAGCTTGCCTGGGGAATACCACAGGACGGAGCAGCTGCTGTTGTGGGACAGCGTGCGAGCATCCCTGCCCCAGCTCTCAACACCCAATCAAGGCTGATGGACCACGGGCGCCCACTCCCTCCCCATCGAGGGCCCAGCACGTACCGAGCGCCTCCTCCCTCTCGCTCAGCATCTTCAGATACTCCTGGTGCCGCTGAGGAACGCAAACATGTCATGCGGCGCCTCTGCCCGCCCCTCCTGCCCGCTCACTGCCCGCCCGGGCGAGGGGGGACACAAGACCCTTGCCTCACCTCCTCTTTCATTTTCCTCTGCTCTTCCTTCAGCTTGCGTTTGATCTCCTCCAGCGCCGCCTTCCTCCGCTCCACCTTCCGCTTGTGGAAGCCGGTCAGGTACTCCCTGCCGCCGGCAACACAGAACCGCCCGGCTTTAGGGACCGGGAGATGCCTTCCCTCCCCGCCTCCCGCCCTGCGGCCCGCCCGGCCTCACCTCCGCCGCTCCTCGTCGAAAGTCACCACCAGCCGCCCCTCGCGGCCGCCCGGACCCTTCTTGTTCTTCTTGCGGCCCATGGCGGCCCCACGCTGCTGCCGCCGCTGCTGCCGCCCGCCCCTTCCGCCGGAACGCCGGCACCTCTGTGTGCCCCGCCGCCCCCGGCCCGGGCGGGACACAGCAGCCAGCCGCGGACCTCCCATGCGCCTGATCCCGGCCCAGAGTCCAGCCTGGGGTGGACGGGCTTTGCTTCAGGCATTGGAGCCTCCGGCTACAGTTCTCTTCACCTTCCTCGCAGCAAAAGATTCTGTGGCGCTGCCTTGTGCGGAGAACGTGACAGTGTAGCACCCGATCTCACAGCCCGAGACTCGTTCTGACACTCCAGAGTGTTTTACATCTACACCTCTTTAGTAAATGTCACTCTTCCAAATAGTTAGCATCTGCAGTTATTCAACTGAGCATTCTTTAGTACAGCTCTGATTTTATTTCAATTGTCATTTCAGCTATTGTAATTTCTTGGTGTTAGCAGAGCATGTGCGGCTCCTCTTATCCGGGGAAGGCAATTGTGGAGGTGAGTCTTGGCTCTGATCCAGTGTTCAAGTCGCAGCATCTGGCTGGACAGCCATGATTTCTGTAGTGGTGGAAAGAGGTACTGGCATGAGTTGGTGGGGGCATCAAGGCTGCCATGTTCTGATGGCTTAGAGTGACATTGGCTGAACTCCTGAGCCTTTATTGCTTCCCTGTTCTCGCCTTAAAAATGGGTGTAATGCCTGTGTGGTGGCCAGCTGTCTTCGGTGGAAGCTTCTGAAGTGTTGTGGGGGCAGCCAAAGCCAGCCCCCCCAGCCCACGGAGCATGATGAGTCCTGACAGGAGTCCTGTCACAGCCTGGCAGTCACTTGTCCACAGCCAGCTTTCCTTTATCAGCTTGCTTGCTGCTTGTGCTCTTTTCCTGGCCTGTCCTTTCACCAGCAGAAATGCGGAAAAACCAGTTCTGTGGTTAATTGCTGCACTTCCCTCCACGCCCATGGGGCAGGTCTTCTCCTCCTCCTCACTCCTCAGGAACAGTCTGGGTGCACTTCAGCCTCCAGCCTCTCTTCCCCTGCCTGTGCTCAGCCGGCTCAGGTGCACCGACAGGCCTCTGTAGCCTTCCCATTAACCTTAACCTTAGGCTTCTCTTGCCTTTCTCTTTTCCCTCTGTCTGCCAGAGCTTGTCTCTCTGGTGGCTCCTTCTCTCCTGGATAACACAGTGGGTTGGCCTGCAGGTGCATAAGCTGCAGGCAGCTGCCCTCCTGGCCCTGTCCTGCCCTTCCTGGAGGGATACCATTCCGAGGTGATGGCTGGAGGAAACGAGCGGAGCACGAAGGCCCTGAAGGAAGTGTGGAAAAGAGCAGAGAACTCTTTGTGTGCGGACTGTGGGAAGCCAGGTGAGTCCCTGAAGGATACTGGAGGAAGAGTTGGAAGCAGGGAGCTGGGACTGATCTCTACCAGCCACTCAGTGCTGGCTATCTGGACTGCACAGGAGCCTGGCGGGGAGAGAAAAGGGAGGCATTGCTCTGGATATTAATTTCCTCTCCCTGGAGTTGGGTTGGCAAGGGAGGAGGGAGAAGATGCTGCCATAGCACTGGTGGGAAGGACAGCAGTCCGGGAGTGCCAGATTAGCAGGGGCTGCATAGCTGCAGCACTGTGGGCTGTAGCCATGTCAGATCTGAAATGCAAATCAAGGTCATGCCCAGTCAGGACCTGACAAGAAAGCTCCCAGTGAAATCCTAATTTCTCCAGAAAGAAGGCATGATTCAGAAGGGCATTGTCTCAGCCATGACTCAGCTCTAAACTGACAGTCTGTCATAGTTGCCTGGGAAATTTCATTTGCTGAAGGATTTGCCCTCTCAGAAGGGTATCCAGTTTGAGGTCCTACAAGTGCTGCTAAAAACACCCATCATACACCTCCAAAAGAAGTGTACTACCCAAGCCAAATTAAGACTGGACAAATTGGTACCATTTTGCCCTATTTAATTATTCCAGGAGAGTTTTTGATTCAAGGTTGTTTTCCACTCCCTGAGCTAAACGCTGTTAGGAGTTTGCTGTGATGCACTAAACAACTCCTGAGGTCTTTTCCCAGTGGTGGTTTCATTTTCGTCTGGGTTATCCTTTACACAAAGGGACTTCACAGAGCACTTTGGTGTTTTTCAAGATATAGGTCATTAAAAAATCAGTCAAAGTGATTGGAACGGAGAATGAATAGCTGTGGTTTTTTTGACTGGCATCCATGCCTTGGGTGTTAATTACTTAGCTCAGATGAAACTGTGGTCACCAGTTCCCTGTTTCTCAGGACTACATTCCCAGGTGAGGCATGTCTCCCAGGGATACTCACCACTTCTAGTTATACCCTTTTCCGTATTCTCAGATCCTGATTGGGCATCCTCTACTTTGGGTGTCTTTATATGCCTCAGCTGTTCAGGAATTCACCGCAACATCCCCAGCATCAGCAAAGTCAAATCCCTGAAGATGGACTACTGGGATGATGCTCAGGTGCAGGTGAGATCTTTATCCCCATGGGCATGGCAGGTGGTTTGGACTAGACTATACACTCAGTGTCCTGGCAAAATCAGTTCTTTGACCTCACAGAGTTGGAATGCAATCTGGTTTAATCAGTCTCTTTTCTACTCATGATAATCAGGGATAACTCCCCACAACCTGCTGGGAGAGGGAGGATACACTTGCCTTATGTGTCTCCTCATGTCCTGTTACTTTATGGCAAATGCAGAGCTCTTGCAATGTGTCTTATTAAGGCTTAGGGTCTTTGCTTAGGGTCTAGATTACTTGTTTTCCACTTGCCACGACCACCCGGCCTCAATGTCTCCTCTTGATTTCAGCAGTCAATTCCATTCTCCAAGAAAAGCTTCCAGATATAATATGATCTCTTGAGAAAAATGGCACTTATGAGAACTTGATTTCTCCCCGTTACAGCCCCCTCAACTCACTAATCTTCAGGGGACTGAAAATATTTTCTGGAGATCCAAAGAAAATAGTAGGTGTCTTGTTGCTCTTTGGCAGAGGTTGGAATGTCCTTCCAGATAGCATTGCAGAGCTGTTGTCGAGCTCTGCAGGAGATGTGGGACATGGCAGCAAATCCACTGAATGTGTGTGCACCCAGCCTTACGGAAGTGACATTTATGGCACTCTGTTGATTCAGTGCAATCACTGTAATGTCTGAGAGTAGATGAGACCTTTGAGCAGCCAGACTGCTGGCATGTTGCAATGGAGGGGAAGAAAAATGCTCCATTAGAGTTTGATGTACATCTAGCCCTGTAGTGGGTCAGGAAAGAAAAAGTGCACTATGAGTCTGCATCAAAGGCAAGGCACGAACTCTCTGTTTTACTCTGCAGTTTCTGGCCAAGCATGGGAATGCTGTGACTAAAGCCGTCTATGAAGCTCACATCCCTATTTACTATTACCAGCCAACCTACAATGACTGCCAGTAAGTTGCTGCATACAGAAGAAAAGGGGGAAAGGGAAATCTCTGTTCCTCTAATTCCTCTGGTTTGTTTCTGAGCTACCTGTTACCTCTCTCCATAGAGTACTGAGAGAACAGTGGATACGGGCCAAATATGAACGCAAAGAATTTACTGAGCCGGGAAAACAGCTGCCATATTCTGATGGTAAGAGCAGAACACAGCATCAAAACATCCTGCTTGTTGCCTTTGCTGAGCATCATGAGGTGTCAGTGTTGCAAGTCCCACAAGCACTCCTGAGGACCCAATTGATACTTAGAGGCTTAGTTTTGGAGGTATTAAATTCTGGACAACATAGGCTGGCACTGCCACAGGTAGCTTAAAAGCCTGGTATTATCAGGTGGCGTTTTTCAAAGGCATTTGATGTCTTGGTGGACACAGAGATCTACAGATATCTATCCTGCTGCATGCCACCCCCTTTAACCATGGCAGTTGTCCTTGAAATGGCACTGCCAGTCCTGTGACAAAGGGCATTGGTACCCAAGAGCCTGCAGAGTCAAGTGAAAAGAGTTCTGGTCCCATACCAGAGTCTGCATGGGCCAGGACTCTAGTGTTCACAGGAGACAGCTCTTGCACTGTCAGAGGTAGTAGTGGGAGCAGGACTAGGAGGTGGGAAGAATCTGGGACTGTCTTTTAGTGAGCACTTATCTGCACTGCAAACATGGGAACACCACCATCTTTAGTTGTAAGTCAGAGGTGAAACATCTGAAGTGTTTATTGTCAGCAATAGTCCATCATGTTCTTTGTCCCAAAGGGGTGGCTGTGCCTCAGGCTGCATGCAGCTCTCTGATGCCTCCCATGCCTGTGGGGGAATGCTATTATAAGTGGCTTTTCTGCTCCAAGGGGTGAAGGAAGGCATCCTTTGGAAGCGAGGTCGAGACAACGGGCAGTTCCTACCCCGCAAGTTCCTCTTGTCTGAGAGAGAGGGATGTCTGAAGTATTTCACCAAGCAGGATGTGAGTATGGTGGTCAACTCCCACCTCACTGTGTACTCCACCCAGAGCAGTGGGGTCACAGAGATGTTCTGATTTCCTATGCATGTTTCTGAGGTTGCCTTGCTCATCTCAGCTCAGGGATGATAACAAAACATGTCACTAAGGAGAAGGGTTCCCTTCCTACTCTCAGAGTGACTTTTCCTCATGCTCTCCCTTTGTGCTTCCCTCACTACTGAGAAAAGGGCCGATCTTTCGCTTCACTCCTATCCATTTGCCTGGATGTGTAATCCTGCACTATTCCTAGAACTAACCTCACCTCACTGTGAGCCAAGTTGGCTTTTCTCTGGTTGGTTTTGAGAAGGGCTACTTTTCTGCCCATTCATCTCTCTGAAATGAATGGGACGAGCTAAAATGCTGTCACAAGGGTGGGAATGGCTCAGGGCCAGAGAGAAGCATGACACACCATCCAGAGGAACCTGGACAAGCTCCAGAAGTGGGATGGTATGAACCTCAGAAGGTTTAAAAAGACCAAGTACAAGGTTCTCCACCTGGGTCAGGCCTCTGACCCTGCCTTACCCCACTTAGTCAGTAGCTCAGGTCTCTTTCCTTCTAGGATTGCTCATGCATCATCAATGCCGTTCTGTTTTCAGGCCAAAGAACCCAAAATCAATGTTAAAATAGATGTCATCAATGCTACATTCCAGCCAGAGAAGATTGGGAACCCCAATGGCCTGCAGATCACTTATCTCAAAGACAATAAGACCCGGAATATATTTGTCTACCATGAAAGTGGAAAGGTATCTGGTTTTAGCATCAAACACTGAAAAGCCATTGAGGTGCTTTGAGGAGCTGCTGATATTAAATAGTATGAAGCATGGGTAGGATGGGGTGTGTGAGTGTGAGTTGCTGTAGGTAATAGGGTGAGAGTTCTGGCACTGTGTTTGTGTATCTGTGAGAGAGTTTCGCTGCAGGGAGCAGGGCAGGAGCACTGGCTGAGTTGGTTTGTGTGGGAGGAGTTCTATAGAAGATGTGCTGTCTGTGCATGTGGGGAATGGGGCAGCCGTGCTGGCTGTGTGCATGTGAGGGAGATGCTGCGGAGGGAGAGCTGACAAAGCCGTGTTTGTAGTTAACACGGGGCTGGGTGCAGCTGGGTGAATTTACATAGCCCACTCTTGCTCTGGCTAAGCTTTCTATCCTGTCCTATTCCATCCTCAGGAGGTAGTGGACTGGTTCAATGCCATCCGCTCTGTGCAGTTCCATTACCTGAAGGTAGCATTTCCCATTGCCAGCGATAATGAGGTAAGGCAGCACTGGAGCACGGTGCTGGGTCTCCTGCTGCTTATATGATAAAAGATCTCATTAGTTACTGTTATAACCCCAGGTATGGAAGTGGAAATTGCAGGGTAAAAATAGAGGGATGAGAAGGTGCTTTTAAAAAGGGCCTGTGGTTGTCAGAAAACAACCGCTCTCTGCTGTTTCTGGGCATTTTGGAGGCAGAAGTGATGCCTAGCTAGGCCGTTTGGGAAATATAAATTTAGAAGGTGACTGAATTTGGGGGAATAGAAGGGTGGGGGAGGGAAATGAATAGCGAAGAGGCACAGCTAAGTGAATGTTACTCTTGCCATTTTGTCAGATTAAAAATCGTCTGACAAGAAACTTCCTGAAGGAGGGATATATGGAGAAGACTGGTCCCAAGGTGAGCTGCTATGGTAGAAAAAATCTAACAGAGGCCTGCCAGAGCACCACTGGCTTTCCCTACTTCAATGTTTTTCTCCTGCTGTTTCCTCATTCCCCCCTAACTCTTTAGACACCCGTGGGAACAGTGTGTATGCACCAAGGGAGGGGAGAATAAAAGGAAGGGGAAGGACACGTGTGAAAGTAGATGAAGCCAGAGTCCCTGCTTTCTCCCAGAGCAACAGATCTCTCTGCATGTGTCTGTGTGTGCGTGACCTTACAGGTATTTAGTGTCCAGATTTCTCCTGTCTCAACTCTGGGGTCCTTCATCGAAGTTCACGAGTTGGGGACAGCAGCTGGGACTGAATAACCCGATAGTCAGCCCCACTCTCAGCTCAGAAAGGGCGAGGAGGAGGTTGCTGTTAAGGCAGGGGCTTCCTTCAAGCGGTTGGTTTGAGTTTGGGGTATCCATTCGCACTGCTCGCAGCAGAGGGCACTGTCCCCTCACACGTGTCACCTCTTCCCTTCACAGCAGAGAGAGGCTTTTAAGAAGCGCTGGTTCACGCTGGATCACCGCAGGCTCATGTACTTCAAGGATCCTCTGGTGAGAGGGAGATGTGACCGCCGGGCAGCTGCAGGCAGCGGTGCTGAGGGCAGGGTCGAAGTGCACACAGGGTCTGTGCTCTGCACTAAGGGTGGCTTGCAGGTTTCCCAGCTGCTATGAATGGACTCCAGGTCTTTCCCTTTCCATCCCACTTAATTAATCACATGCTTTCTGTGTTTGTTTCACTGCCTGCAAACAATAGGAACCGGGAGGGCAGTGGTGTAAAGGTAGTGACATGGGAGGGTGACACAGAGAGATGAAAGCATCAGTTCCTCTCCCAGACCTCTTGAGATTTATGCCCTTATTTTTATCTTTTCACTACTGCCTTTGCGCACAGATTCACTGCTCTTCTGAATCCCCTGACCCCGATCCTCACACACTCTCCTCCTGTCTTTAGGTGCATTGTAATGATTCCCTTGTTCTTCTGGGATTCCATAAATCACTGTCTTTCCCTCCTGATCTGCAGGACGCATTTGCTAAGGGTGAGGTATTTGTGGGCAGTGGAGAGAATGGATATAGTGTCCAGAAGGGATTGCCTTCAGGGACACAGGGCAACTTCTCTTGGCACTACGGCATCACCATTGTCACCCCTGACCGGGAATACCTCTTCACCTGCGAGACAGAGGCTGACCAGCTGGAGTGGATCAGAGCCTTCACTAGTGTCATCAACCAGGCCATGACACCACAGGAATATGCAAGTAAGTGCCTGGATGCTGTTTCCTTCCCCTCCTGCCACTCCCATTCAGGATGTTGTCCTAATGCACCACCTTTTTTCTTCACTACAGTTGAAGCCTACTTCAAGTTTAAATCCTAGGAAGCTATGCAGGAATCTCGCTATGACTCGACTCTACCTTGTCCTATTGGGTGGCTGTCAGGACAGGAGAAGAGATTGACATCAGAGAAACACAGTACTCTTGGAGCGCCCTTTGAAGCACTTTTGCCCCCATAGAATATCCACTTTATTTTGAGGGCCCAATTAAGCTGCTTCTTTTCAAGTGCAAGATTTTGTGCGTCTGAATCCTCAGTACAACCTGTCCCTATTAAATTGCTGTGATCTAACTGGATACTGACAGGTCTTGCCTGTCAGTCGGGCCTTGAAAACTTTGGCACTTACTATGTTGGACATGGGACCTAGCATGAAACTCCTGCATGAAACTGCAGACAGCCACCCACCTGACGAAAGAAAACAGATGTCTGGCTGGAGCCAGGCACCCCAGCAGGCTACAGGAGCTGCTGGACTAAAAAAGCCTGTACCTTTACAAGAAATATCATACCTGCTGGTGACAGAAATGTGAAACATCTAGATATTTGATCAGTTAGTGTAATGGTTGAGAAAGGTCACTTAAAAGATGTAACACAACAGCCGAATGTGAGGCCTGTTTCCTTATGCCATGGATGGTCTGGAAAGCTTCTTCAGATGACATTTGTGTGCAGACCTTCCACCAAATGCTTCAGAGAAGATTAAGCAATTGTCTCAAAAAAATGTGGACGTACATTTGGGTATGTGGATAATGTGTGTGCACACATAAGAAAAAGTGATGGAGGCAGAATACTGTCCTAGGGAAGATACTGTGAGGGATATTCATGCCACTGAAGATCATCTGCCAAACTCAAATCTCTATCAAACCAGTGGAGAGGGGTTGGGTCTTGCAGAGAGGAACTGATAACGTGTATAGAGTTCAGAGTCTGCTCTATCTCTCCTAGAGCCTAGGGTTGATGCCTGAATATAGTAATACATGGATCTCTGCTCCCTCATTCTCTGTATGTCAAAGGCCTGGCACTTTCATTCTGACCTTCACATTGCATGTGTTTATCTTGTATATCACACATACATATCGTTGTATGCAGTAGTATAACAGGAGAGGTCTGTATGTTCATGTTCTATTAGTAAGAGTTAGCCTAAAACACTAAATCAATCCATGATTCATGTCTTAAAGCTCATCTCTTAAAGCTCTCTTGGGAAAGCTGTGTTTCACATGCTGGAAGGAGTAGCTGAGTTCTGCTGGTGACTGTCATATCTGATGTATTTGCAGTCTTACGCAGGCAGTGTGAGAGAAGGTATCTCATGTGTTAAGGGAAGCTAACTGGAATTAATGAGCCAACCAGTATTTTAATTAGCTCCTAAAGAAATAAATTTAAAAATCCCATTGTAATTTATTTTAACTTCCTAAACTAGCTGACCTGTTAACTGTTGAGGTATAAGGCTGTTTCTTGGAAAAAAGCACAGACGATCAAACAAATAGCCATAGCTGTTCATTGTATTTCCTGGGGCATGTGGACTGTGATTATTCCCATCAGAACCAAATGGGCAGACTCACGGTGCCCCTCTGCTTCTGTAGGGACCCTTCTGTGCCAAGACCATCACAATCTGTTTGGAACATCAACTTCCTGGATGAGAAGAAGCACCCTGCTACCATGGTGCAATGGAAATATCCACCTACAAGTATACTTTCACTGCATTTTGCTGATCTCTCCCAGATTGGAGCATGATTTTCCAGAAAACCAAAGGTCATTGCACAGTGGGGGAGTACTGATGGGATGCCTCCTCCTCCTCCCGTTTGTTACTGTATTACCACTGCTGGATATGAGTAGAGGCATTTGACTCAGCCACAATGAAGCTAATACACTGATGATGCAAAAGAGTGTGCGTGGCTGGAGTGGCCTGAAACCCTGAAGTAACAGCAGCATACATGTAGCATGGCACATCTGTCTCTGCTCTGCAAATTCTGTCCCACCGTGTCTTCCTTGAGACGAGGCCCAGATGTGAGCGAGGAAAGGGCAGGGTGGCATCGGGCATGGGTGTCATGTGATGGTGTCTCGCTAGAAGGCGGTGGTGCCTGCGTAATGGGCTTCTGCTCCGTGCTCTGAGGCGAGGCAGCTTCCCAGGGCTTCGAGGGAAGGAGGGGGAAAAGCTTAGAGGAGGAGGATGAAAAGGACAGAAAGACCGAGTCTAAAATATACAGTCCTTTGAGTCTTTAGGAGCTTGCTGCTGACTTGAGGGCAAAGGTGGAAAAGGGTCAGGACAGAAAATGTGAGATGTCCTACCATCTGGTGGGCCTGCTTGCAAACTGGGGACTACATCCACAACACCCAAGCCTCAAAGGGCCCTGATGTCTTTAGGAGGGAGCAGGGGACAGGTTCTTTCAGTCTGGCTTGGCTAGGGAGAGCTGTGTGGCTGCTCCCTGCCTATTGTGCTTCCAGGGCTGGCCCTTGTTTCCCGACTAAAGCCACAGCATGATGCTTTCTACCCTCCTCACCATATTACAGAGTTTTGTCTTTCAGCTGTCTCCTGTCTCAAATGAGGACAACTGTACAAGGAGAAATGGGAAAAAGGAAGGGAAACAAGAACAAGAAGGAAGATGGAGCAGGATAAAAGTGCAGGAAGATATGGGGGAAGAAAGCATGTCTGCCAGAAAGAGGAGGGAGCTTGTGGGGCTTCTCAGCTAGTGGCTAAAAGCCCAGTATAAACTGGGAGCTGTATTCACACCGGTGTGTGAAGCTGTGAGTCAGGCACATTCCTCCATGCAGTTGTCAAGGCAGCTCTCAAAGGGCTGGTTCAGTGGGGCAGGGCCCACCTCCCCAAAGTCTGTCTTAGCTGAGCTGACACAGATTCGGGAGCAGAACTCTACTTGTTCATCCACTGTTTCTGGGGTGCCAGCAAACTCTGAAGAAGCAACAAAGGATGAGCTAGTGAAGAAAAGAGACATTTCCTCCTGGCTGGCAGAGGTTATCTTGCATGTCTTGGTCTTGAAGGAAAAGGCAGCGTCCCTTTCTTGGCTCTTTCATTGTTAAGGAAAACAGCCGGACAGAGCTTGTGATGGACAACATCAGCAAAATGGACTGGGCAGCTGGAGGTGAGGAATAGACTTCTCTGAAGCACCCTGTCTATGTCTGATGAACTCTCCCCATTCTTCTCTGGGCTGCTTTGCTGTTAAGGATAGACGTGTCTCATACAGTGAAGGCGGGAGGAAGGAACAGGTTTCCGAGAGCTTGATTTGCTCTTGCTCAGTTTACCCAAAGATGTCTTACAACTCTTCTCTCCTCAGCCCAAGTCCTAGAGAGGATCCCAAGGCTGGCAGTTTCTTGGAGGAAAGCAGTGGTGGAGGTGATGACAGCAATGTTCTGGGAGGGGACAGCCTGGTCACAGGGCCGCTGGGCGCAGTGCTGCTGGTCATGTGCCTCACTGGTATGGTGGGGAACATCTACACAGTGGCAGTGGCCTCTGGCAGGGTGGCAGGATGCTCAGCAGGCTCCTTGGGGGTCTACATGATCAACCTTGCCCTGGCTGACCTCCTGTACCTCTCCACCATCCCCTTTGTGGTTTGCACCTACTTCACCCACGACTGGTTCTTTGGGGATGTGGGTTGCCGGCTTTTGCTCAGCCTGGACCTCCTCACCATGCACGCCAGCATTTTCCTCCTGACCGCCATGAGCCTGGAGAGGTACTGGGCAGTAGCCAAGCCTCTGTGGGCCAGGCGGGCCAGCAATGCCTACCGCAAGCTGGCCAGCGCCGTCCTCTGGCTCCTCTCACTCCTGCTCACGGCCCCCATGATGGTGATGACCCAGCTGCGGGAGGGGGACGGCCCCCACAAGCGCATCTGCGTCCCCACCTGGACACCATCAGCTTTCCGGCTCTACCTGACGGTGCTGTTCACCACCAGCGTCCTGGCACCCGGTGCGGTGCTGGCCATCGTCTACGCCCGCCTGGCCCGGGCGTACCAGTCCTCGGCCTGGGGCCTGGGGCTGCCGGTGCCTGGCCGGGCCCCTGCTCGGCAGCTCCTCTCCAGGATCGCTGCCATCGTGGTGGCCTACTGGGCCTGCTTCCTCCCCTTCTGGGCCTGGCAGCTGGCCGGGCTGTACCAGGGAGAGGGGCTGGGCATCAGCCCCGCTGCCCAGGCCTACCTTAACTTCGGTGTCACCTGCCTGGCCTATGGCAACAGCTGTGTCAACCCCTTCCTCTACACTCTGCTTGCCAGCAGCTACCGCGGGCACCGTGGCCGCACTGGGATGGGCATGGCACGGCCTGCAGCACCCTCTCAGCAGGCTGCAGGAAGCCATGGCATCCCCCTGGCTTTCAGGGAGGTGTTGGGGCCTGTGAGGGAAAGTGTGGGCTGAGCAGGCTGGGAACATCTGACCTTTGGCTGGGTCATGTTGAGAAATAAAAGTGTGTCGCCTTCCATGCCAGCATGCAGTGTCTTCCATCAATGTTGTTGCAGTGCTTTCCTCTTTGCATGGCTGCTCATCCTACTCAGCTGGGTGGGGAGAGTGCTTGTCTCAGGGATCCTGACTCCATCCTCAGATCCTGCAGCCCTCACATACCAGCCTCCACCTTGCACAAGGCTGGGGAGTGGGTGGAAGGGAGCAGTCAGCTTCGATATGTCTAAATTATATATCTGGGGAACCTTTGCCACCCCTCAGCTCCTTGCTAGCAACGGGCCAAGCCATAACAAAGTCAAGACAACAGTGAGTCATAGATTTCACAAGAACGGTGAGTCACCTCAAGAAACAGCCACGCTAGCAGGAGACTTCACTAAGATTCATACTCCTGTGGTAAAGCTACTACTGAGCTTTCTTCAAGAAACAATCACAAAAAAATCTTCGAAGAATCTAAAGAAAGGTTGCCAAGTGCAATTAAGAGGCATTGCAAGATTCCCCTGTAGTACAGCCCAGGGAGTCCAGTACATTTGCTCAGCTCTCAAGATCAGCAGAGGAAGCTGCAAGGAGCGAGCTCTCCTCTGTGTCCATCATGACAGTTCATGGTACCCTCACCAGCACCTTGGCCCTGCTGTGGTTGAGGGAAATATCCAATACTCTGGCCTACCCCATGTACCCCAGTCTGCCAGACTGTGTCAACACCACTGTGTAAACTGAGCCAGGTCTCTTGTCTTGAGACCATCTAGCTTAGCATGGTTCATTTTCATACTGCTGAACCTCTCTTCTTCAGAAAGGATGGCTCCATCCTTATCACCCCGTGGGAAGAGTCCCCAGGCTATGTTGTCCCCCTGCCATGCCTATGCACAGGGTGGCAATGTTAGATGTCATGTTTACAGTTATAAATGTAGCCCTAAATAGTGTGTGATGTGATCATCCAAAAGAGATGGGCTTCGGGCAACACAGGACTTCAAGAGAGATCCAGCTGCAGAGACCCAAATTGCTCGTACACCCCAAGTGTTCCTACCTTTAAGCTAAGCTCTCATCTTATCTCTCTTCCTCCTCAGACCCACAATTCCTAGCAGCCCAGCCTCTCTGTGCATGGGTACCGAGGACACAGCACCTGGCAGAGCCTCACGAATTATGAAATAAGAATGGCAGGTACAGCTGCTGAAGGGGAAAGTCCCTGTTCTCCAGCTGCTGTGCAACTGCTTAATGTGAGGAACTAGCCCAGCCAGGCCGGCAGGGAATCCTGTAGTACACCAAATTGTTAGTGCTCTTTGTTGCTTGTAGTCAAGCCTTTCATCCCAGACCAACCTGGTAACTGCTGTGCACTGAGGATAGGGAAGATCCCACCTTTCCCATACCCACCAGGCACAGCATGCTCAACAGCAGTGCCAAGACAGCATTAGACTGAGGGAGTCCCTGAGGCAGCTATGCAGTAACATCGAACATGCCTGACTGCCTCTGACTCCTCAGAGTCTAGCCTCGGCTTAGACTGACAAGTGCTCGGGTTCATTTAAGCCAAGTTAAACAGGAACAAAAGTGTAGTGCACACATCCTTAGCATCCCACACTCCAGCTGGACATTGCTGCCTCCCTCAGCTCTGGATGGAACAGGCAAAGCACAAGAGGCAGAATAAAACCAGACACTTCCACATTACTGCTCTCGTGTGCCACAGCACCACAGTTTGTGCTCCTGCAGTTACTGGAAGAAAGGATCTGGATGAGGAAGCCTCTACATGCTCTGCCACACCCAGCAAGGCAGCTTTTCCACTGTCTCCATACAGCAGCAAGAGGTCCCTAGCAGACAAAGGAGTAGGACCAGCCTCTACAGAAGGGTGCAGCCAAAACTAACACAGTTGAGGACTTGCCCCCTCACTCCATGCCCCACCAGGATCACCTAGCACAGCCACTAAATGCCCTCTGATGTCAGCCAGGAGTGCTTAGTTTAGGTAGAAATAGAGTTAATATATTCAGGGAGTGTAAGGTGTCAGTCTAAACCTCAACAGCAGGTGACCTTGCCGAAGGGACTCTTTTACTGTCCCTGCAGTGACAATTAGCCCCAATGCCTCCTCCTGCAACTCTCCTTGGACTTTTAACCTATCCATGACTTTCAAGGACCAAGACTGGGACAATTGCATCCACTTAGGGTACTCAAGCAAAACTGCCTACCCCTATCCACCCATTCACAGCAAGGTGCCCAACCCATGAGGACTCGCAATATTAAACAGATTAGATTTTGAGACTTAGTACACCAAAACTCTTATTTATTGATTGCTTTTTCTGTATCTTTGATATGAAGATGTCAAAGGAAGTTATTCCCAGCTAAGGGACTGGAGTGTGAAGTCCCCTTGTATATCAAAGTAGTCAAAGACAGAGAGGTTAAGCCGGTTAGGGAACGTGAACTGGTGGCCTGGCAGGTGGACTGTCACATCATTTTGGTTGACACTGAAAGTGATCTGCAAGGCAAATGGAAAAGTTAGAGAAAGTTTCCTCAAGCCTCTCCCCTCTGCAGCACTGCTGTGCCACCCCCTGCTTCACAGGGTGAACAAAGCTCAGTAGAATAACCTGCTCGTCAACAGAAGGAGCATTATTCTGGTCTCGCAAGAAATGTCCATTCCCTGCTCTGTTCAATAGTAACATCTTTGAGCCAGATGGAGGTTGCACATTTGATCCCCACCCTCCATCAGTGCACAGAGCTCTGAGTGGTGGCACTGGCCAAGCAGGAGAAGCCAGCCACCTTCTGTACAGATAGTCCTGAGACAGCCCCTGCAGCTGGGTGTCTTGTGCCAAACACTCTCCCTTCACCAGAGCATATACAGAGAGTATGTATGCATATATATAAATATATGCATGCCTCACCTCTGCTGTGCCCCCTTTCTGGAAAGGAAAGACAGCCTCCCTGTGCTCTGCACCCCACTCTTCCACCTTCTTTGAGTTGCACACAATGGTGTTCACATCACCATGAGCATCAAAACGGGGATTGAAGTGAAGTCCGAGGAGGGTAGCATCCTTGCCCAGATTCATCACAAAGCTGCAGAGAAAAAAAGTGGACATCAATACAGCTTAAAAAAAATTTAAAAAAAAAATCAATACTATGGTAGCATGATTCTCATTACCATGAGCATCCCTTTGTCTGTTTCTTCAAGCCCAGCTTAGGGTAACCCAAGATAAACCCTTTGTTAAATAACACAGCTTCTCTAAAAAGATGTGCTGTGGCAGTTAGGGGCACTTTTCTGGGGTGATAGGCTCGTGAGTGCCATCCCTGGGAGAAACATCACTTGGTTTCCTCAAAGCTTTTAACAAGAGAATGGTTCAGCATGCAGTGCTCTGAACAGAGTTATACACCCAGACCAATTCCCAAGGAGACAGTTGTTTTCCATAGATTTCCTTTCAGTCCTGAACAGTTAGCTAGTGCTGCATCCTGCTTGACAGCCACTGCCTTCTCCCCATCCTGCAGGCAGCTGAAATAATTACCATGTCATTAGCTATCCCAAGTATCTGCAACAGCAGTGGGAGGAAGTTTCCTAGGCTAGTGTCCACCTTTCCTTCAGGCCTCTTACCCAGATGAGAAGAGGCATATTACTTGGCAAGAGAAAGCCTGGGAGGCTTCACTCAGACAGTATCAAACTTCAAAGGCACTGGGAAGAGCTGGGACATGTTTCCTGGAACACCGCTAGTGCTGGTACAGCAGCTACAGGCTCCACCTTACCTGCAAAGGGGGCCCCCCAGCCACAGACCTACACAAGGGCTGGGGGCTGCTGCAGAGGCTTCGCTGGGAAACAGCCACCCCAATCCCTACACATTTAGGGGTACATTTCCACTTAAGCCCACCTGCCTGCTCACCACCTTTCTTCCTTCTTTCCACACCACCACGTGAGAGGTAAATCCACTGGGGCACCATAAATGTCCCTACTCCTGGCCATCTTCGTGCAGGGGAGAGCATGTGGTGGAACAGACGATCTCAAACCAAATCTCAGTATAGACACAGCTTCCATTTCCTTTACCCTGCACTAGAGAGGATGTGGTCACTGCCAGCGTGTGCAGCTGGAACTTCACATCTGCTTTGGCTTAGCCCTGTGGCAGTACTGTGACTGCAATGTGCATTAGGGGATGACTCACTGAAAGCACTGCTGGTATTAACCCCTTCTCCTCTTCTACCCAAGGGACCCTTTTGCAGACCCCCTCAGTGCAGTGCCTTGGCTGTGCCTGGGCAGCACAGCACAACTCACCTCTTGGCATTTGGTGCAATTTTCCCCTTGACAGTGAGGCGCTGGCCAGGCTTGAGACCCAGGTTGGTGCACACTGGTCCCTGGGGAACATGGAAGGAGAGACATTAGCTCAGTACCTGCTGGCTCACTTGCTCTGACTTGGCAGCTTTCCCTGCTGCCTTTCAAGATATGCTTTGCTTTGGACCCAAGGAGAAACAGGGAAGCTCCCTTGCCCTAGGGCATTGCAGCAAGGGCATCCCAGAGAAGTTACCCCAATCACATGGTACATTTGATTGGAGCTCGATTTCCTAATCTGTCTCCTGCTGCTCTCATCAACATGTGTATTTCACAGCAGTAAAGTGTAAGTACCTTCACACTCCAATCACACCCACCCCATCCCAAACACACCCATGTGCCTTGCGGGTCTCGTGTCATCCCACACAAGTCTGTCTGGGATGGATGGCAGGGATGGAGATGCCACTCCCTTCCCCTAGTTCGTGTTTGAACTTCAAGCCTTTCCCACGTCCAAGGGCTCAGACACCTTACTTACCATCTCCCAATGGCTTGAGCTTTTTTTTAATGTAGGCTCAGTATTTGCAAGAGCATTCTTATGCTCCAGAGAAGCACCTGCCCCCCATCTTCTCTATAGGAGGACCAAAGTATCCTGGCAAACCCATATGTACTCATTTTTTTCATCACAGCAGAGCCAAAACCTCAAGAATACTGAAAATATTTTCCTACCCCACCTTAAAAAAAAAAGCTTTCTCTTTGGACAATCCCTGCTTAATCATGCTCAGCCTAACGAAAGACAAATTAATCA